ACAGGGTATGAAAAGGTGTGATTCTGATCTATACAACTAAAAAATAATGATTGTTAATAACTTATGTATGTATAAACAACTACTTGTGTCAGGCTTTCATAGTTAAATGTACCTGAAAGACAGAAGGAATAGTAAATTTCTCCATCTCCTGTTGGTTCTTTCTTAGGCAGCAAGGAAAAACAGATAACCAGTAGACAATGATTTATCCAATACTAAAATTCCTACACTAGGCACCTAACACTGGTGGTTTAGTTGAGGAAGGAAGAATTTCATGCTGATAACCTTCAACATCCAGCACAAACCTACAGAATACCTCCTACAGTCATACCCAGAACTTCAGCCTTCCTGCTCCCTTAAAAAGGGAAGCAAAGGGCTCTTCCAAGTTCAAAATGAGTAGAAAATTTGGTTTGATGCTGCCCATCTGTGTTTCATTCCTCCTGCAAGGCGAAGGGCTCATCTTTCCCAGGTGCAGTCAGCAGAAGTTTGGCTGTTTCCTGCAGAGGGTCAGCAGGGGCTCAGCTGTAGCACAGAGACAGGCACTGCAACAAAACCCACTTGAGAACAAAGCTCTGAGTGTCTGCACAGCCCCAAAAATCCAGCAGCACTTGTCTGAAGTGTGGCCGTGAGTGCAAGGTGTTCATTTTTAAGCTTCTTAATCTAGCAAGCAGTTGAGTTTATGAGGCTCTGCTCGCATCTGGAGGCACACGCTTGCCTTAGCTCCAAGTTCCCTGTGAAACTGCACCTGTGGCAACTTTTAGAGGGAAAAATTACCATCTGTGTGTGGTGGATAACTCCCTGGCACCTGCCTGTCATTGACTGAAGGCATTCTTGTTCCTAGCCACAAGAGGCTGGCCTTGCCTGTACTGGATGCTGGAGACACTAGAGCAGCCCAGATTTCCATTCCCATCCTGACTAGCAATCCTTGTAGCTGGGAGTTCATAAATTAATATCCCTGGATAGATGTGCAAGTACAAGAAAAACAATTTAAAGCAAAATTCCCACCTGAAGGAACAAGAACACTGATAAAGTGAAGAAAACATTTAAATTATTTCAAATATTTGCATTTGTGTGAGACAGTAGAAGCAATGTGGGAGGGAATGAAGAACAAAATTGCACTTATCACACAAGAGACAATTTTTTAAAAACCTAACAAAACCTGTAAAGAAGCAAGAAAAAATAAATTCATAAATGAAAGGATTATGACATTTAAGTAACTGATAAATTAATTAGGGACAGCAAATTGCACCTAGCAATAGTCCATACAGTAAAAAACTCAATAAAAAGCGAGAGTTTCCAGTTTTAAAATGAAATTGAAATGCAGAATGGAGCCAGGACAAGTATGAATTCAACAAAGGGGAATTCACATGCAGTATTACAATACAGTCTAAATTCTAGTAACCAATGAGCCCTTTTAGAATTCAGATAATCTATTGTTGAAAAAGGATTAGTTGTATTAAAAAAAAAAAATCTCAGATTTATCGTTATCAGTATTGTATTAAATTTTACAAATGTTTCTTCTTCTGTCAAACACAGCCAAATTTGTGAGTGTTTTCCTTCTTCTGTGGTGTATCTCAGAAGTACAGCTGCGAGTGCTTTTCCAGAGAAATCTCTTTTCATGAGTTTAACCCTGCTCTTTCCTCCTGGACAAGGCAAAAGGAAAATGTTCTTGGCTGCAGTAATTAAGGTTGTATCTCTTGCTGGCTTCTGGTCAGCCTTCAGAGAATCAAGATACTCAAAACAGCCTATAAGAAAGTAAAAACAAAACAAGCCCAAACCTCAAATCCTGACCCCCAAAGCCTGGCTTTTTATTTGTCTTCTATTACATTTTCTGCTCTTGGACAGCAAAGTCATGATTCATGAGAGGAAACCAATGGTTCCTGTTATCTTCATCTTCTGTGGAGAACAGGGTACACTTATTCCAGTTAATAACTGGGGAGAGAGAAATATATTTATGGCAAATGGATGGATGTTAAAGAAAAAATCAGCACATGATTGAACAAGGGATCTCTACTAGCTGACCAAGAGTAATTTGTTTTGGGTGTTATTTACCATAGTGAAGGTCCCACTTTTCACTTTTAATGAAATTGCTCTAGACTTACTTCTATGCAAATAAGAGCAAAATTTATTCATTAGTTCAGCTGAATATCACCTCTACGTAGGAGAAACCTTATGAAAAGTAGAAAAACCAGCACTATACAACCATATATTTTTCATCAATCAGTGAAATATTGCATGGCTTTTTCTGAAAATGCATGTGATGTCAGATGAACCATGGATTATTTCTAGAACCTTTTTTATAGTCTTAATTGCTTAAAATTATTCCTGAAGTTGTTTCTACAAACCCCATGATGAAACAGGTACACTGTACATCTCACCCTTCCAAACTGCCTCGGGCCACAAGGTTCTGCCCCACTCCTCATTCTATTCCTGGGAAAATATATCAAGTGTATAAATCAAGTGTATGGCACGAGGTCTGGCCCACAATTGCTTTGCAGTCCCAGAATTTCCTTTTCTATCCTTCTCACCCATGGTCCAGTGAGGCTCCCTGACTTCCTGACGAACTGAACAAAATCACTAGATGAATTTTTTTTTCCTTTTCTTTTTTTGCATTTTTAATAATGCAATTGAAGTGTCAGCAGCTCATAGAGTCTTTCACCAACCTCTTGTTAACTGAGCTCTGGTATTATCATGTCTGAGCGGTATCAACTTCAATTTGAAAAAAAAGTTACTGGCTGTTATAGGTGTAAAGCAAAAAACCCAGGTAGCCCTATAGGCTCAAAAACTACACTTTATTTTTTTTTTTTAATGGCATCATTATAAAGCTCAGCTCACAGATGCTGTTGCCTGGCCTTGCTGACATCGAGGGGAGAAAATTCAGTTGACAGAGAAAATCTGTCCTAAATTTATGGCAACATGTGGCCCACTTGTCTGTCTCTTCCCTTCCAGAGTGGAGCAGAACAGAGCAGACATCCAACAGCTGTAAAGTGTCATTGTGTCTTTGACATATAGGTCAACATATAGATTTGAGTATCAGCAAGAACTAAATGTTCCTTTCTATATATAGATTTTAACATAAAAGTTACTACAGCATGCTAAGGCTGCAAACTCTGGTACCAATCTTTTCTTTGCATCTGTGTAACTTCAGGGTTTGGCTTTTTTAATATAGAAGACTTTTTTTCCCTGAATTTTGGCATAACACAGAAATATCCATAAGCATATTGTGAAGCACATTTTAAAGCCTGCTAGCGTTCATAAATCAGGATAGTTATACTAATTTCTGTGAGTGGGTGTTCCTGTGCGTGAGAAGATATGCAAAACTGGACAGTGAGATGAGCCATGATGAACATTAAAGGTCCAGGAGCAGATCGATAGCTGGTGTCAATTGCCAGGGCTTCATTGATTCCAGTGGTCCCACGGTAAATACTAATTCAGCTGGAGCTAAAAACATTGTCATCATCTTATCAGCTGCTCTGTGACAGTGGGGAATGCAGAATGAGGGGCAGGCGTTACCTCCACACCTTTGAACGGTGCCAAAAGGTAAAATTCCCTGGTTAGTCTCATGTTTTGAAATCTCCTTTATTGGCTGCATGTGGGTATGCATGTGGAGACAGATGCATATATACACAAGAAGGCATTTTCTGAGACAAATACATGGCTTCTGCTGCTGTGATGGTACTTTTATCTTCAAATAAAAACAAAATAAATTTCAAGAGACTGTATAAAATTTGCTTGTACAAATTTGTTGCACTTCTATGAGGTTTTCCATTCATCCCAGTAGCAAAGGATCATTATACTCAGGTTTTAATCCATGATTTACATACAATACTCAAATTCTTTCTCAAAACTAAAACTTATTACAGAAATTATGTTTTTTCCCAGGTGTACAAATTACTGAGAATTATAATATCAACAAAAAGAAATGAAGCCAGGTTGCATATAAAAATCTGCACCTCCTAGGTGACTCTCAACAGGTTTTTTCTAAACATTTTCCACCAGATAAAGTTCATTATCTTGTTCTAACAATTTCCCATTTCACAAAGTTAAGGTTTTACTGAACCTTTATATGAGAAATTAATTATACAGTGGCATGAAGAGAACCTGAGAGAAAAGGGACTTTGTGCATGGCTGGTGATGAACTCATTGATTCTGCTGTGAAGTTCTCTTGAACACCTTATCAAATGCTGCTAATTTTCTGGTCTGCATACAAATGTATTGATGTGCCAGAATGTAATCAAATTGGAATGTTTAGAGTAAAAGCTCATTTGCCATGTTTCAAATTGTTCATATTTACTTGGAGGCCTCAGGAGGGCATCTTAATCTTATAGTGTTATTATTTCAAATAGAAAAAGAGATTTTTAATGTTATTTGGAGAAAGTCCCTTAGCTTGCAGACTGAAAAAAAAAAAAAAAAAAAGAGGCAGAACTTTTATATTTTGACAAGAGTTTTGAATGAAAAGTAACAAAACCTCTGAAGGGGATTTCCCATTAGTCTAATTTATTTGGAAGCACATTTTCACAATAATAATTAAATTATCTAACGTTCGCTTACATTAAAAAGCGACCATCTGTAACTGTTCAATACTAGAAAAAAAGGAGGGGGGAAAGGCCAATATTTTAAACTAACATCACAGGCAAAAAGCAACAACTTCCAAACATCAAAGGAATACCATGATGTTTGACAGCTTCCTATGAAGTCAGCTGTTTCATCTCCTAGTGAAGTTGGCAACAGAAATTCCAGCATCTTCTGTGCAGTGGTGTCTTTGAAACTGTAACATGTTTATTTGTTAGACCTCTATTCATCCAGTTTTCAGGGTGTGTGAGTAACAAAAACATCCAATAATTAAAGACTTGTGACATAGGAATCTGTGCTTAGTGCAGACAACAAAAATAACAACTACATTTTCCTATGGAGGATTTTATCCAGGAAGTTCATCCATGCCTTGAAATCTTCCATGGGAGGAGAACACCAGGTATAACCAACTGAGATACCATTGAGCAAAATGCGTTTTTTATCGGTTTTATTTCTCCTAGAAATGTCAGCACAGCACATTATATTGCCTGTAATTTTCATAGATAAACGAGACAATGATTCCATTGTTATTTTTTTTCTCCAAATGGTAGAATACATTTTCTTAAAAAGGTCTGCAAACATATTTACAAAAGTGTGAAATCAATAAATGCAGGCTCTTTATATTTTTACTGAATTTCCAAAGACTGACTGATATCCTAATTTTATTGGAAATCTGGTCCAAGAATGATACAAAAAATTAAATATCACACTCAATTTTGCTTTTGTGTATGCTACTATGTAAAACAAATCAAATAGATAAAATATTTTGAAAAAAACAAACTTATATTCCATGAAGCACATGAAGATATTCCAAAACCATTTCTTATCTTTTCATTTCAGCTTTAAAACATCTCTTGCTCTTTCTCAATGTTGTGTTAAAACGTGGGACACCATCTTACTTTTGGAAAGCCAGCTGCTGTAATGTCAGTATAAAGTAGCCACTAAAATATAATTCACAGTATCTGCATCACATGAATGGACTATTTTTTTTCCAAACAGGAGTGACAAAATTTGTCTTGTTGCCTTCATCTTTCACATTTTAAATACTATTGGCTGACAGAAATAAAGTGTAGTGTCATGCTTGGTTTACCTAAATCATTTATTTTGTAACTAATAAAAGTAAACAATTACCAGATACTGTATATATAGAGATATATAGATATATGGCCACAAAGAAACTATAGTAGAAAGTTATTTTGGTTTTGATAAAGTTAAGAAAAGCACATAAAATCATATTTCATTAATACCTTGTTTTATGGCCATCAATATTTTTGTATTTTTTTTGTTTTGTTTTGTTTCATCAACATAGCAAAATACAATCTTCTTATTAAACAATAATTATCAGATGGCAGACAATTCTTTTTATTGGTTTACATTGGCAGGTCACAGTCTAAAAGCACAACCACATCAGGCAGAAATTGCACACAGACCGCACTGGATTTTGAAGACTATTTTATAGGCTTCTACAAAAATACCTTAATTTAAAACTGGGGACTGTAACAAGTACTAAGTAAGTAGATGGTTTTCTATTTTTTTTTTTTTTTTTTTTGTTAAACAGTTTTGTGAAAGAACTGAAATTGCAGTATTTATTTTGGTTTCAGCTTAATTTTTAATGTCTGTGCTCAATGTTAGCAAACATGCTTTAAACTTTTTAGCAATCTTTTATAATAAAAGTTCAATCACCCAATAAAACCCAGGTGATTTTTCTTTCCTATTGTGGAATACTGAAGATTTCAATTTGCATTTTTAACTCATTCCTGAAATCTGGAGGAGATTGACGTGTGATTACAGTCACAATGTCAATATTTCTGTAAGAAATAGCTGTGGTGGGGCTGGCCTATAAATGTGCAGTTTTATTAATTGTAGAAGGCACCCTCATGTCTTCAAAAACCAGACTGGTCTTAAGATATTACTCTTTATTTGAGACAGTTACCATTACTTCATTAAAAAATGACAAAACAGCAATAAACATTTTAGCTCTTTAATGAGCAAAGATCAGGTCTCTTAACATTGGAATAATATTCGTTATCCAGATTATCTTTATTTCACTCAGTGACCAGTAATATGGCCAAGAAATACAAAGTAATTTTCCATCAAGTAGTATACAATTTTTGTGTGTAATAAGCTTTCATTCTTGAAAAAGAGTAACTGAAAAGAAATGTTTCTGTTACTGCAGTTAGTTTGTCAGAGAAAGTTCTTCGCATTATCTTACAAACTATCAAAATTGCTAGTAATTTGAAAAAATGTAAAAAAAAATCACATAACTTTAGTCTAATAGAAATATAGTACAGGTAAGAGAGAAAGTATTTATCAGGGATGTGCTCTTAAGTCCATCTCAATTATTTCTTTTATATAAATGTACATCTGATTACATATACAAACGTTTTGAAAGGACCGTGGTATAGAATTACTGGAAAGCAACAGGGGAATGAAATTTTTTTTTGTGATTTTTAGAACATTCACTTCAAATCACACAAACATATGTAGTATCCAGATTTTTAAATTTCCAGTTGTTGGCTCTCTCCCCGTTCTCATATACCCTCTTTTTCTACACTCTTGCCATCTGGTCTAGAGAATTAATTGGAATGACAAAGCTAATGTATAGCGAAAAGGGAATTAACATTATATTAAAATATTATAAGTAAACTTTGTAACATGCAACATGAGTTGAAACAATAAACTGAAAGACGTAATCAGAGCAGTAATATTGGGGCAATTTTAAATGGCAAAATGTCATTGCAATTAAATTTTTGGACACACTTTACCTCATCAATTTGAACAAAATATTCTGTAACTAAATCACAGCAAATTATAAATCCTTCATCAAAGGAGATTCCATTAAAGTTATAGTTATTTCAAAGTCAGAAATTATTTAGGTGGAAAGGAAAAAGAACATTAATAGTATACATTTTTTTGTCTGGGATTCATATCAGTGAGGGTCCACCACTGTATACCTAGAATGCCATAAATACCTTTAAGAACTGTTGCAATCCCTTCTTTTTCAGAAGCTACCATGAAATATTTTACTGTAATTACTTTTGCCCCTTTAAAAAACTTCTTTAGGTTGTGCCAATTGATGGAGAAAGCTTCTATTAAAAACTCCAATGGGATGAGAAGAATTTTAATTACGGCTTAATCAGCAGCACAGCCACCAAGCATATAAATTATCATGCACATCGTGCTAAAAATATCCAGTTTCCTTTATTCCCACAACTTTTATACTGACAGCACTTATGTGATAATGTTGTACCTGCCAGGCTGTAAAACTTCTCTGACTGGCAGATTTCAGCATGAGCCCCTTTCTAAGGCCTTAACAGCATTGGTGCTTTGTGTACTTATTCAAATATGTAAATATGGTCTACACAAGAAAAAAGGTCCAAATAAAAATTGGTGAAAATTATCTGACATTCCATTAGTGTGTCCCTTGTGCATATTTATAGGTTTTTAAAATTTTCAGTCATAGTTCTTTCCTGTTTGTGTTGCACATGCCTAATTCCATTATGTAACTTAAATCTTCAAAAAATTAATACTTGAATGTGAATGAAAAAGTATCATTCAGGACAACTGCTTCAAGCAATTGCAAACAGTTGGGTTTTTAGTTTTTTGTTTCTTTTTTTCTTTTGTTTTGTTTGTTTCTTAAGTTCATTTGATATATGTACAATTCATTTTTTTCAAAACCCCAAATGTTCTTGATATGTATATTCACATAATATTCCTCCATATTTAAATAGTAAGAGTCTTGTAGGTTGAAAGCCAAGTAATCTTCAGTAATATCACCTACTGTAATCCATCAAAAAATAAAAGTTTGTTTCGTCTTGTCTGGCTATACCCTGGTTGTTGAGTGTGAATGGGGGTGGGGATGAGGATGGGGCAGAGTATTGTTCTGTCCTCCAGTAAATGTGTTGAATGTGTGTAGGGGCTGAATCCCTGGTATAGTGTTGGGGATCATTGTGATGGTGTTGGGTGTCATTAGGGGGATATCATCAGGAGACCTTCTCATGGCTAGCGTGTAGTCTGGGGGACAGGCGGTCCTAAGAACCACCTCATGTGGATGGATGGACTCACATTCATGATCCAAGTCAGTGTGCTTCATTTGGAGGGACATTATTTCCTCTTCTTGTGCATGGGTGAGATCGTTGGTAGTGGTACGTTGTGGGCTACATCTCCTGTGAACGTCATGTCTCCGCTTGTCCTTTTTGTAGTACAACGCTGCAAAGGCCAAAATGTTCAGGAACAGCAAAGATGCGCCAACTGCAATAGTAACGCTCAACTCTGTTGAGTAGTCCCTTTGATCCACTGAAAATGGGCTTGGCTGCTGCTTGGGATCATCTTGTTTGGCTGTAGGAAAGGCTGAAGTAACTGAAACAGAATTTTTCCTTGTGGGTCTGAAAGTGTTATCAGTTGATGGCACTTTAGTTGTGGTAGAGGTATACTGTGAAATGTCGTTAAGATTGTGCAGATGAGGTACCAGTTCCAACCAAAGGTTCACTTTATTGGCCCTATAGTGTTCTTTCACTCGTGGTTTTAATCCAATGTGAAGATACAGCTGGTCTTTCTGAGAATATCTGGTCCATGCTACTTCTTCAAAACGATTTGGTTTTGTGTGGATGAATTTTGTGTCTTGCGGCACTGGTTGATTTGGGTCACTGCAAGAAAAAGATATCTCCAATGTTACAAAGCATTTCAAATGGAATTATGAAATTAACATAATTAAGATTTTATACTAAACATTTAAGACTGCCTTTGGATGGAGCAGAGTGCTATTCCCTAAAATTAGAGGCCTTAATAATCTTGATTAAAAACAGCATTATGCAAAAGAACCCTTCTTTTACACAAAGTTCAGCAACTTCCCTGGTTCTCCAAAATATCTGTGTCTCACAGTGAAATCTTTGGATGCTGAGGGAAGATTGCCTGGTGTGTGGTGATGTAGTAGACAAATGTCTATGAGAGACCAGTGTGAGAGAACATTAAGATTTTCTTCTTGTTTTTAGAAGCACCAAGTTTATATAGCTCTGCATTTCTTTTCCTGTAAATCATCTGTGGCCTTCCAGAGGGGAAGGATCATGACAGAGCACAACTCAGTACAATGCATAGTCAAAAATAAGTGGTCAAATGTAACAAAGGTTTTTGAACTCCAGTGAAAAAAAAAGAACAAATGAAAATGGCAAAACTTTCCAAGTTTAAAGCCACATATTTTATGGTCAGAAGTGAGAATTTAAGACAAAATATGCTCCTAAAATAGGCTGTATTATATTTGATGCAATATTTATGTAATTTTCTGTCTCATGGACTGAAAGTATCAGTGGTAGGGCAAAGGTAGGTACTAATGTAGCTGATTTTAACTCTGCATATATGTTAAATGCTTACTTTTACACTTTTCTAGAGTTTCATTAATTAGTTTTGTGTATATTTTAAAATTTTCTCACAGAAAGTATGCAAAGATATTTTTCCCTCTTTTTTCTAAAACATGTAAGTGAGCCAAGGAACATTACAATAAATATAAATATCCAACTCAATTCTTAATCTCTTATTCATCCTACAAGTACAGAGGAATTCCCAAGAGAGATAACAAATAGAAAGCACCATTCCATCCAAAGTTTGCATACAAGACCATCCATTAGCTGATACTCACCCAGTTTTTGCAAAGTTTGTCCAGTATGTCATCACCACTGCACTTAGCATGACGTCATTTTTGGAGAAATTACAAGGAAATAACTCAGTAGGACCAATCATGGGGATTCCTAGTACGTAAGGAACCTCATCTCCGTGGGCTGCATCCGCCCATGCAGGTACCTGATCTGTCTGGCAATGATGGTAGAAGGCATAGAAGTACGTAGGCGATCCAAAATTCGAGTGAAGATCTGCTGTGGCCACTGCTGGTGCAACCCACTGGTGATCAGTAAACAAAGCCAGCAGTGTTTTCCTTCTGGTCTCGGGGTTGTGCCGGTCTGCCCAGTCTGTGTACATAAATTTAATAGTTTCCCTCAATATATCTTTGCCTTCGGGGTATCCGTATAAGTTATCGACGAAATTAGAAACTGCAAAGTCAAAATCACTGGCTGATATGCCGTCTTCACTATCCACAATGTTTTCAACAAACTTCAGCCCTTCCCCTTGGTTAACTCCCAGCATGATGTCATAGTTGAGGAACTCTCCTTGCTCCATCAGGATCTGAGGGTCGTCTGGGATCACGTCGCCGTCGATTACGGGTCCAAAGGCTATGTGGTATCTTGCTGGTTGAATGTCCTGGTCGACAAGTTCTCTGTAAGGCTTCTTCTGTAGACATTCTACCAGTTCTACAGTGTCTGACATGTTGCAACCAACTTTTGTAGCCAACATCCTGGCATATTTTGCAGGCTGAAAGCTAACTGCCCAGCTGGAGAGAGCTGTTCCACTTTGAGCTATTGCTCTTTGAAAAAGTCCTGTGGGGAGAAATATTTGAAAACTACTGAAGCGACCTTGAAACAGCCACAGACTTTGAAAGATTCAAAGGAGTTTTTTGAAACAATAGAAAACTTTAACAGAAGAGATACCTGAATCTTAATAGTACTTAAATATACGGGATGGTGAGATCTGACTGCTGTTGTACCTACAGGTAATGTGCATAAAATAAATGCAGTATGTGCTGAAGTGAATGATTCTCCCTCAATATAACCCAGATTTTCAAAAGAAACTCAGGAAGAAAAAGGAATGGCATTACCTTATGTAGGACAATGCTATCAGGTTAAAAAAAACCAACTTAAAATTAAAGCACTGTATAGGTTGGAGGAAAAACCATCAAGTCTCTGAAATGGGTTGAAGTTTTTGATATTGTTCAAGCCATCATCAGCATGCATGCATCACAACTACATGTGAAATAAATCTATTACACTTTTTAATGTTTTCTTTGGGATTTAAGTTGGCTCGAAAGGTGAAGCACTTTTAAATTGTGTATCACTGCAAAAGTATATTCTGGAGTAATAGATGAGAAGGTACCAGGCAGCTATTAAATTTATAAGTGTCTAAGTCAAAATCCTTTCTTGTAAGGAGCTTTTTAAAGTCAGGTTTATATTGATCACACTTACATAAAAAGAGACATTATGTATTTTACACTGTTTAGCTTTGTAATTCAGATATTTAAACATATGTTCAGGTATTCAGTTAAGGGAGAGAGAATGATCTGGCACTGCATATAAACTTGCAATAAATCCCAAAGTCTTCAGGGCACTTAACTTGAATTTATGCTGATTTAATTATCACTCTGGACCAGGAATTCTACCCAAAGAAATAACAAAAAGTGTTAAAATTTATGTTTTTCTCTCCCTTCTGTAAGGATTTTTAAAATGTGTCATGGATGATAGCCTCACCCTCTTGTAGTAAGTGAATTCATGCAATTATTTTGCTATTGGCTTTAGTGTAATCAGAACTCCATCCTTGTTTTGATACTGTTTGTGCTCCTTTTGCATTTTTCCACTCCATTTGAGGAGGGCACTTTGGGTTCCGAAAAAGATTATAAGTCTGAACCTTGTGAAAAATATTGCTCAGAAACTATATTTAGGTAATTTAGGATGCATTTAATAGGTATTTAGACAATATTTAGGTAAGTGTGGCCTTTCTGCTGTTTTGTGAGGAGTTGGGTTTTTTTTTCATTTTCATAGAAGTTCATTTCAGTATCATAACTTTTGCACAAACTACTGGAAAATATTTTATACTGGACCCTACCTTCTATATATCACCCTGGGTAATACAAAATGGTCTATAGTGTTCAAAAGTAATGCTGATTTAAGATGTATGGGTCACAATTTAGTTTTACTTGTGCTGATGGGCACCTGGAGTCATTCCACCATCTCTGGTGGAGTCATTTAGTGACTGAAAGTGACACCTGGCATCACTCAGTTCCACCAGGTCCAGTGCTTGATGAATAGCTGGATACTCCCACTAGAGGAACTGGAGTCAAGGCTCTCAGCTTACCTCAGAAATTTATTCCAATTATGCACAAGATGGCTTTTGCTTTGATAAGCAACATATTTCTATTGATAAAAAACCCCCCTAGGCTCTAAATCAAATCAGAAATGCTTTTACTGCTTCTGTTGCAGCACCAGACTCTACACTCAAAAATAAACTGGAATCTGTTGCTGGCAGGAAACATTTTACAAGGTTCTCAGGAATTTTTAAATCATTCAGTGATGTAAATCATTGTATTAGGTCCCAATCGAAAAGTCTTCAAATTAGATAGGTGTAGAGACTGAAATGTGTAAACTTAGGCCTCTTAAACTTACGAGAAGTCATATCCAAGATATTATTCTCTTTCAAGATATGAGTAAAAATAAGAATGAACTTGAGCTATAAACAGCTAAAAATATATTTGCATGTTTATAAGGTCAGATATTGAGCTAGTATAAATCAGCTCAAAGTCAGTAGAATTACCACAGAGGATCCAGGCATTGTAATAAATGTAACTAAATGACAAAGCTGAATTTTCACAAAGATGTATTTCATGATAATTCATAATGTGTGTGGGTTTTTGCATATTGTGTAAATCTAACTTTATTGCTCTATTAAATATGTCTGAACAAGGACAGAAAGTGTAAGCTATGTGTAAGAAAATGCTGATTCAAACACTGTGGCTTGCTAAGTGCTACCTAAACATCAGATGCTGGATTAAGTAAAAGTGGTCAAGTCCTTTGGCCATAAAACCATCTGAGGAAATGAGACTAAACATCCCTCTTGTGCTGAAGAATGCTGACAGAGCTATTCCTCCACTCAAACCATTTGGTGAAAAATGAACAGTATGAAAAATTATTCTCATTCTGTCACAGAATTCGTGGCAAAAATTTGTACCTCACAGGATGGAGAACTACATTTTTATCTGATAATGTTTATTATTATTATTATTATTATTATTATTATTATTATTATTATTGCTTATGGGCTTCAGACTGATGGAAAGAAGATTTAAATGTTCAATGGGCCATAGTGCTTTGTAACCCTTATGCAGTGTCTCACCACAGTAAATAATAATAATTTGCATATATTCATCTATATTTTGAGAGCACTTTTTGAAGGTGGGTGCTGCTCTGCCCACTTGCAGGTGGGTGGCTGTGAACAACTCCACCTTGAAATAGGCTGAATTCTTCCTCTCAGCTGCCAAGGGAATCTTTCAGAAGGAAATAAGAGAAGCAAAGAGAGCTTCTGAATTTATATCTTATGAAAGAGGTTGGTTGATAATCACAGAATCCCAGAATGGTTTGGGTTGGAAGGGACCTTGAAGCATATCCAGTTCCACCCCCTGCCATGGGCAGGGACACCTTCCACTGTCTCAGGTTGCTCCAAGCCCCATCCAAACTGGCCCTGGACACTTCCAGGGATGGGGCAGCTTTTCTGAGCAACCTGTGCCAGGGCCTCACCATCCTCAGAGGGAAGAATTTCTTCATAATATCTGATCTAACCCTGCTCTCTGTCAGATTGAAGCCCTTCCCCCTTGTCCTATCACTGCATGCTTTTGTAAAAAGTCCTTCTCCACCTCTCATATGTAAATGTGAAACAACATGAAACAAAAAGGGAGTTTGGAAATGTTAAGAAATAACTTTACTTATTTGAACCTGACCAATTTATATTTTTTTTTTACAGCAGATCTAACCACCTCCAAATGAAACATAACACAGGAGTGTGGTGAGCTGTTCTGTTTAATCCAAATTTCATCAAAGCATGAGTTTGCTTCTAAAAGAAATCCTCAAAAATTTACTTTTATTGAACCTTCTTCAGGCCCTCTAAAATGCCTTGATCTTCTGTGTTGACATCATAGTGCCTTACTTTTCCCTAAACAAATTCTGGTCCTGGCAAAATTCTGGCCATGTGTTGGGATATGACAGAGTATCATTTCCTGATAAAGGCAACACATGACTGTCCAAATATTGTCAATGTGGCATTTTGCATTGATGTCATGTTACACCAAGAAAATTGATTTTAACACAAAGAGTTAGGGGAAGATAAACCAGGTGTCCTAATTCAACCTGGAGTTAATCCTTAATAAGAAAGTTGGTTTTTAGAGCTCTGATGAAAGAAGATGGTGCATTGAGACCCTCAGGTCACAGTGCAGTGGATCACATCTTGATTTTACAACCATCTTCTTTTAAATATCTCCTCCGTAAGTTCAGGTAGGTATGGAAGAAAAAAAAAATACACTAAAAATCGAATTGTGAAAACAGACTTAAATTTAGACCACAGTCTTATTTTCCACTTGACTCTTTTTGTAGAAATTATATTTTTCTCTCATTTAAAAAAGCATAACGGCATGGTCTAAAGAAGCTCTCACTTCTATTGACCTCAGTGGTCTTTGTAACATGACTTTGGGGAAATGCAGCTCTTTTAATGTCAGCAGAATTATGTTTTTATGACCAGCCAATTAGTCCCCCATGGAGATATGGCAATATAAATTAGTGGAGGATTATATGCACAGGGCACAGTGTGGTGTCCCTGATAAAACTAATACAGATAAAAATATTTTAAAACAGTTAGACAAAAGTAACATGATCAATAAGCAATAGCCATGCAAATGAGAGACACTGTGTGAAACTGTGGTGCAAAAAATCATAGAAAGAGTAAGTTGGGTGCCTCAAACAGCACGATTTTAATTCCCTGCCACCTGCCTCAACTAGAGAGAAAAGGTGTTAGTTATGGAATAGGAAAAAACATATAGAAGGAAATCAATTTGCAACTTGGATGCTTTGACAATTTTGGATCATGCATGCAAAACGTTCAACCATTTTTTATTAGATGACAGCAAGTGAAGTTCATGCATTTTCAGACAAAAGATTTCTGAACTAGTTATTGTTTCCTTCCCACAAAATAATAGTTTTAAGCAATTCAGCTGTTAGCCTGAAAAGAGAAACTCTGTCATTTTAGTTTTCTTTAAATTCTGCTCCTCAGGAGAAACTAAACACGCCTTTCACAACTGTCTGAATATAGATGACCCCATCTACTGTGAGCATGACTGACTGATTTTCCAAAAAAGACACCCTTAGGTAGGAAAGAGACAAAAATGAAGCACCAAGAAAATGCTGTTCAGAAGTTTGCTATAAAGTTTTTCTACAAAGCTCCGTAGGAAAAAGAAGAAAGTGACCCAAAATTTAAACATGCACAGAAGAGCTGAGGGAGAAGGAGGCTTGTACAGCCTTTAAAAGTTTCTCAATACTGAGCTGAACTCAACAGTTCATAGAAACAAAGAGAATATACAGAACATCACATAGTACTAATGGTGGTGGCATGCAGACACCAAAATTGTCAAAATTTGCAACCTGTATAATACCTTTGGTTGAATTGCTCCAACGGTTACCTTCAGAATAATGGGATAAAGTCAACAGATTGACGCATGAACCTCCTGCCCCAGATCCAAAAACAGTTATTCTTAATGGGTCACCACCAAAGAACCCAATATTTTCACTAGTCCATCGCAAAGCTTGAATTAGATCAAGGAGGCCATAGTTTCCTTTTGCTGCTTGGTCCCCAGTGCTCAGAAATCCTGTCAAAGTAAATGAAAAGAGAAGGGGTTAGCAAGGGTTCTTCTGAGTGATCCTGTTAAAATCTTCCAAGTAAGATTTCAGAAGTATATGCTATTAAATATCATGCAACTACATAATTTTCCATTGTCCCTGGGAACAATTTGAAATTTTGCACTTCTCCTGAAATAAAAAATATTTTATATCCACTCTTTGGGCCATGATAAATATATGTAGCAAAGATGAAGACACATCCCAGGCAAAACACTCATCTAAATCTGAACAGGTCACAGCTTATTACTCCCAAGGACTTTGTGCTGATTGTACTGAGGTTAAGAATAAAAGTTTAGGAAACAGATAAGATGCAGTTGTTCTGTACATTATTTGATCAAGTCTGTGTTGCTTTTCTGTACTTGGATGCCATGCAGCCATGAGCTTTGCATTTGCCTGAGATGCAATGATTACACTTCACTTACATTAGACTCTGTTTGATCCTGTCCTGGCAACTCATTGTCTTTTACATTTTTCTACACCAAAAAATGCAGGTTATGTCACAGGACAAGCCAGGCTGAACAATGGGAGCAGCTCTCAGCTCCCTGAGCTCCATCCCATAGTCATTAACCTGAGTTAATTGAATCTACATTAAATGGATTAAGTCAATGTTTCCATGACCCCTTAACAGCCAAAAGGTAGGAGCTCAGGGGTAATCTGGAGAGCACTACAACTGCTCCCTTTTATTCCTGGAGGAAAAGTGTTGGAATGTGTCAGGTGCTGGAACAACGGGTCCACACTTTACTCCCAGCAGTCCATTCACATTTAGCATTGCAGTTACTCTTGTCATTAGAGCCCACTGACTCTAAAAGATGCACAGTAAAAACTCTGAAGAAAGTCTCTGTTGATAAAAGACATTGCTTTTGGACCCTATTGACATTTTGAATCTTCGCAGCTTAATAAACAAATGTTTAAATACTACCAGCATTATGAAGTAGTCCATACCTCCATTTGCATATCAAACTGATTTGATACTCACTAAATTGTGTAACTGCTTTTCAGTACATGCTTTGTAGAGAAATGCAACGATTACAACAATTATTTCCACATTAATTAGATATCAGTGGGTCTTCTAGTCTCGTCAAAGTTCTACTGATTCAACTCTCTTGAGTGCAGACAGCCTACTCAAAGGAAGTTTACAGTAGTTTTGCAGACAAATGGCTCTCAAAGGAGTCCTACTCTTTCATTATGACTATAAAAGCAGCTTTTAAGACATTTCTAAGAAGACACATGCGTGTATATACATCTGTATAGCAAAGATTTAACAAGAATACAGATAGGTGCATGTGTGTACCTATATTCATGGATATAACGAATGTGTGATTTTTACATTTATTATTACTCTGATTTGACTTCAAATGGCAAGCCTGCATTTGATGTTCTGCCCTATGCATAGAGACATTTAAACTAACAGCCCTTCTTTGCTACAAATGGCACTGGAAGCTTGTTGGCCTCACTGCCTCAGCAGCTGAAATCTGCTTTGTTTAGGGCAAGCAGCTTTGTTTGTGTAGGTCAATCCTGATTTTTGTAACCACAGAGAGGGAAGAGGAAAGTGCCATAAGGTGCCAGGCCAGTAATTCTCCCACTTCCAGACCTAATGTACCAAGTCTAATAGACATACTTCATTCATTGTATCTGTAGTAAATTGTTACTCTATGCTGGACTTTAAAAGATTCACTCTTCTGCAACTGAAACCTGCCATGTGTATTACCTAACTGCATAAAAAGCAAAGTAATACCACTACCATTGTAGAAAATACCCCCTTGGTATTCAGGAGAAGCCTAGAAAGGAAGACATACTTATAATTCATTCATTCATTCTCACTTTACTGTTACAGCTCAGCACTGAGTTGAGACCATTATGATGATAATTATTTTACTCTGCTTCACACTCCTTCACTTTGCTCCGTGTGGCCTGAGGGTTGGCGAGCATGGCCATGTGAAATCATGGCCCCAACACAATCCTGCCTGCACAGGAGCATTCATTCTTGGCTTCATGCTCCAGTTAAATGTTGTCCCCCATAAATAACTTCAAGGACATGGAGAGATGATGCCTTTGAACACGATGACAAATGTAATGAAAGCTCCCTAGGCAGTGTCACTGCCTTTGTCAGCCTGCTTGGAGCTGAGGGATGGTGCCGGGACTGTAACAAAATCACAACATAGGCATTTATGGGAGCTACAGGATCCTGTGGCTGCACACGCTGGGAAAGTCTTCCCCTTTCTTTGCATAAGTGTATGGCTGTGGAAATTCAGTGACAAATCAGTTCATCACATTAAGCACATAAGTGCCTGCACTGATTCAAGGGATTAGAGGGACTGGCAGTCCCCGAGCACAGGCAGCAATGAGATGAGAGCAATTACAGCAGTTACCAAAACTGTGATATAAACATGTCTCTCTTTGCTTTTCCTGGCTTTCAGATTCCCTGAGCCTGGTCAGGATCTGCTTGCAGCAGAGCTGGAGCATTGCTTCAAAGAGATCCAGTAGATTTCTCAGAATATTCCAAGGCATTTATTAGGAAATTAGATGGTGTGGTTATAGCTGAGCTACACTGATCACTCTGAATGAACACAAATGTGAACACTCAAACTTTCTGAAAAAGTTGTTTTTTTTTACTCTGTATAACATGCAGCAAAGTAGAACCCATAAGTCTTTGCCTGGAAAAGCAACAGATTAAAATTACAGACAAAGCCTTAGGGCAAACCCCTGCTGTCAAATCATCTCATATCAAGTCCCATAGCTGGATGGGGAAATGGGAAATCCTTGGGAGACTATATATTCACTACTTTTAAAGAATCTTCATGAACATTTTGTTGCTGAAAGTAGATGTCAGGAACCTTGCATTCAGTTCAGGGAATGTGCCAGGAGGGGGAGCTTTCAGTTTATTAAAAAAAAAAAAAAGGAAAGAAGGCAGTGTTAGTAATATTCTCCTCATTCATCTATATTAAACAAATTATGACTTGTGTCCAGAGCAACAGCTCTGATGCAAAAGAAATATCTCACACCTCCTCAGCAAGAACCACACTGGCTGATTTCCATATCTGCACAAGATGGATGATGATTGATGTTGACTTTCATGACATGAAACATTTCTATCTCATTTTTCAGAACCATAAGAAGCCTGTTAATATCACCACCTGTTCATGCCTTTTTTTCTTGTACGCCGTGGTATCAGCATGGCTTAGGAGCATTCAGAATGTCATGAAATCAGAGATGGGACTGATAAAACAGATAAGGTTTTTCTTTCCAGTTTGTGCGTTTCTTTTTTTTCTTTTCCTAGTGAGGAGGGCCTCAATACAGATAAATGCATGGAACTAAACACCTGGAGGGAAATGCTTTAACACCAGCATCATCCCCAGCCTGCTGGTCTGTGGGTGCAGGTACTTATCCCTATTTATCACAGAGATAAAGCAGAGATTGGAACAATATGTTTTGTCTTTATCCCAAGAGGAGCTTCCAGTGTGTAATGGATATAGATACCATACATTTTGGTGCATTCCTATGACACAACCATTACACCCTCTAGTTATTAAGCTCGCAATTTTGAGTCACTGAGGGAAACCTGCTCTTGCTGAAAAGGTCTTGTGTGTCTGAAAGCTTCTCTGTTTTTAAACTGTATCAGCTAGTCTATTAAAATATATTATCTCTTTCTGCACATACTGTCTTATTATTATCTTTGGATTGTCATCTCACCAAGAAAGCTGCTATCATATTCTGCCACCTTTTGCTCTTGTAAAAAGAGGGAAGTAAATTATTCCTTATTTCAGTTATTCCAGGAAGACATTTGCAAAAAACTTAGTTTTGCATTATTCTCTAAAAAGGTCAGATTGAGCTAATTTTGTTCCATAATTAAGTCCTTCTACTGGAAATATTCCAATCATCAGCTGAACAATTGCTATTTTATATTCTGAATGGAGAGGTTATCTCTTCTTTTATCTCCTCCAGAGGAGCAGACTCTAATAGAATTATGGAAGTGAGTATGTGGTCTTTTGTGAGTTTAAGAAAGAGATTTATTAAGCTCATTTGGACAATTTCTCTGTTACATGTCTGTTAGACAAATATGCAGAGTGCCACAACCAGGCCCTCTATTTTGTATTAAGATAAATTTTAATGCTTTATAGGCTTACCTGCCTGGGCAATTATTTCTGCTTGCCATTCAGATAAATCTTTTTCTAATATGATTCCAGCATTTTTGAAGAGTAAATAAAATAATGGACTTAGGAAACTTAAAATATTTAGCTGAAAACTTTAGGTAGTTTGAATTAATTTGAGCTCTGGCCTAATTTGAAGATTCAAATTAATGCAGAAAGGTAGGCCAAGACAAATTTTTTCCTAATGTAAGGGACTGCAACAACCCAGTGATGCAGTGAGAGGCCAGGTGCAGGCTGGTGGGCATGAAAGTGCCATTTCACATCACAAGAGACCCAAACCATCCCTCTAATGAGTTCTCTCCCTGTGAGTGTTTGATGACCCAGTGACCTTCGTGGCTGGATGGAAGTAAGGGGCAGAATGTCTTGCTGGACACACACAACAAAATATCTGCCTGTGAGAAAATATGCAACAACAAATGCTACTCTAAAATTAAAGCACAAGAGCACAGAGAAACTGGTCTGACATGTGTAAAGGGCTTTTTCCAAGAGTTGTGTCTCTGAAAGCAGTAACACTTCAGACTTTAATATTACCCACCTGTTTAGGCAAGTGTTGTAATAATTTAGCTAGGTTTCCAGTTACAATTCCCTGTGCAGTCAAATGCCAGCTTTAATTTTGTTAAAAGCAAATGTTAGATTGTATAAGTATAAATGCACCAATGCATAGTGGAAGAATACAGAGTAGTTTTTGAGGGAAGAATTTGTATTCCATCTGGATTCATTGCTTAGGACTTTAGTTCATCACCTTCTATTAATATTGAATGGTAATTGCCATGTACAGAAATTTTCCACTGCCCTTTAAGCTATACCTGCTCAGATAGAAA